TAGATAGATAGATAGATAGATAGATAGATAGATAGATAGATAGATAGATAGAAAGATAGATGGATGGATAGATATTAACAAATTTTATTCATCATACAAAAATAATGTATCATGAGCAAATAGGAACCTATGCCAGGAATTAGTTTAACATTCAAAATTCAGTGTACTTTACCACATTAACAGACTTAAAAGAAAAACCATATGATCATCTCAATAGGTGCAGAGAAGTAATCTGTCATTCCTGATAAATGCTCTCAGCAATTGAGATACAGAAGGGAAATTTCTCGACCTGATAAAAAGCATCTATAAAAAACCTGGAGGATGCCTGGATGGCTCAGTTGGTTAAGCGACTGCCTTCGGCTCAGGTCATGATCCTGGAGTCCCGGGATCGAGTCCCACATCGGGCTCCCTGCTCAGCAGGGAGTCTGCTTCTCCCTCTGACCCTCTTCCCTCTTGTGCTCTCTATCTCTCATTCTCGCTCTCTCAAATAAATAAATAAAATCTTAAAAAAAACAAACAAACCTGGAGCTGTGCTCACTTCAGCAGCACATATACTAAAAGTGGAATGATACAGAGATGATTGCGTGCATCCTGCACAAGGATGACACACAAATTTGTGAACCATTCCATATTTCATTTTTTTTAAAGATTTTATTTATTTATTTGCCAGACAGATAGAAAAAAGAGAGAGGGAGAGGGTATGTGCGTGCACAAGCAGGGGGAGGGGCAAAGGGAGAAGCAGGCTCCCTGCTGAGCAGGGAACCTGATGCAGGACTCAATCATGACCTGAGCCGAAGGCAGCTGTTTAACTGACTGAGGCACCCAGGCATCCCGCATTCCATATTTTTAGTTCACAATAAATGTATTTAACACCAAACAAGCAAAGAAACCTGGAACTAACATCATACTGAATGGTAATCGACTGAATGCTTTCCCCCTAAAATCAGTAATAAAGCAAGGATGTCTGCCTTTACTAATTCTTTTAAGATTGTAATTATAGACAGTGTAACAAGGCCAAAAAAAAAAAGAAAGAAAGAAAGAAAGTCATCCAGATTTGAAAGGAAGAAACAAAACTATCTTTATTCACAAAACTATTGTCTATATAGAAAAGGAGGAATTTGGAAACCCTAAGAAAAGAAAAGAACAAGAAAAAAGGAAAGAAATACATGTCACAACTGGTAAAGCATTATAGCGAAGTCTTGGAATGATATTCGTGCATTCAGCCTGGAGGAGGCAAGGAAAAGTGCTCTGGGAGAGAAATATAGAGGGAAGGGTAGACTCCACACACTAACAGTGCAGTTGAGAGGATGGAAATATTCAAGGATTTTTTTTTTTAACATTGTGAAATATAACTTATTGAAGACAATATAAATCCTTGACACATTCAAGGATTTTATAAATGTCCATCATCCAAGCAAAAAAAGAAAGGCCATTATAAACTCTTGGGGAAGGGGAATCAACTAAATCAACTAAAAATTGATACTAACTACACCAAACTAAAATTTGATGTGATTTTTAAGAGTTAATCGCAGGGGGGCCTGGGTGGCTCCGTTGGTCAAGTGTCCAACTCTTGATTTTGGCTTAGGTCATGATCTCAGGGTTGTGAGATCGAGCCCCACACTGAGCTCCATGCTGGGCATGGAGCCTGCCTAAGATACTCTCTCTCCCTCTCCCTCTGCCCCACTGCCCCTCTAAACAAACAAACAAACAAACAAAAAAGAGTTAATGGCAAATAAAAGAAAAAATAGAATCCATTTAGCCTTACTACCACAACTCTTCTCTATCAGTGACCCGATATTGAACCTTTACAAAAAACTAATCTGAGCCTCTACTTGGCCTGACAAAGACATATATTTACACAGTTAAGACAAAATGAAAGCTCTTTACTAGTTTCCAACTTTCAAAGACAACTTATGAACAAAGCATGAGGTCTTGGTTGTGGTTCCAGAATGCAAATGTTAACGATCTCCATAACATAAAAGCAAAACTGTGGAAGAGAAGAGGAAAGGTACAAGAAAGCCTAGGAATGGTCATGTTTTCATTTCACAGGAGTGGGGAGTTGAAATACACACCTAAAGATGGTGAAATAAGAAATAGGGGCAGTAGTGCATCATTTCAAGTCACAAAGATAACTCACGGCAGAACTAAAAATAACAATGTGATTTTCAAAATTGGAAGGAGGAAGTTTGGAAGGAGCATTTGTGTACATGAGCAAAATCCTTATCTTGCATAGGAATGAGTCAATGGATACTGTCTGTCTGAGGTTGGTAATAGAGAAATGGAAGAATAAGCATAATGTTTAGAGTAGTGACCATCAGAGACACAAAACTCAGAAATAATGGAAAGAAACAGCCTCTGGGATATGGGCCTGGGGATAGGAAGTGTCCTCAGGAGCCCCATTGCTTTTCATCACATCCTTCCAGCCTGAGTGAGTCGCTACCACATGCATGCATTAGTTTGAGGAAAATGAAAATCATTATGGAATGACCACTCAGACCACGTACTCTGGTAGCCATGGCCTCCCAGGGGAATCTGAAGTATGGCGACTACTAACGACAGTGACATTGACATTTCCAAAAATAGTTCATTCAGCACACTTGACCCAAGGCAGATCGAGAGAGTTGGCCACACAGCAACTTCACACACCCTCAGTATAGGGGATACTCCTGAAGGCCACACAGCTAACTTCCCCTCCCCGGTGTTGTGCATCTTGTCCCCATCACCACCAGACTAGGGTGCAGCCAGCCCCTCCCTCATCACACCGTCTCCTAGTCTCAGGGAGACTCAGCCCAGCTGGAGTCTAGGTCACTCCCCCCCCAATCCGTCCGGAGTCCCTTCCCAGGCGCATTCCTGATTGGCCTTTCATCACTTGGCGGGCTGGGGGACTCCTGGTAGTGGGAGTCAACAGTTATCAGATTGTTACACTCCAGTCACTCCCCTTACCCAGGAAGTGGAGTTGTGTTCCTTTTTCCCTTCTTCAGTCCTGCTGGTCTCCCCCACTTCCTGGCTGGGCGTGGCCAAAATTCTCCTTGCTCTCCTGCTAGGCATCTCTGTGGTGTAATTATGCAGAGGACCTGGTCCCCCCAGGGAGGATGGGAGTGCTCACTCTGTCTTCTGTCCTTGGGTTCTCCTTCCATAATACACCGGAAAGGAAATGTCCCCTACGTCCCCCGCCACCTCTTTGCTTGCCCTCCTTCCTCCTCACCCACCTTCCTGTATATTCTCAGACCTCCCTTGCTTTGTCCCCCTAGGGCCCCCACCTTTCACCTGGTTCCCTTCCCCCCCTCCAGCCCCCACCTGGGCAAGGGGTCTTCCCTTGAGCTCCAGGGGGTAGAATGCAATGTTTACATTCTCTTCTGTCTCTGTCCCCACCCCCACGCAGTGCTTTGAGGAACCCGAAAAGAATCTGCTGCTGTCAAACATACATATGTGGATGTGTACCCTAACTCTTCCTCCAACTGCAAGTGCTCCCTGAGGGCTTTGCTTGTTTCTCCATTGCTGTGGGCGATGCAAACTTGGTCAGTGGGCATCCTCCTCTCCCTGCCCCCTGCCTTCCTTTGTATCCTCAAGTCCAGGCAAGGGCCCCCTCCCCATCCTCCTCCCTGGCTCTAGCCACAGGTCAGCCTCTGCACCAACAGCGGACACTCTCGCAGTGTTCTTGACGGGATCACACTTGATTCGAGGCTCTCCCACCCCCAGCATCTGGGTGCTGCAATGCTCCTCCCCCCCCCCCAGTCGAGCTGCATTTTCTTCGTTGTGGGAGACATTTGTTTCTTGGCAGGGAGATGGGGTTTCTATAAGCCATGTGGAGTTTTGTTGTTTTGTAAAAAAAAACCTTTAAAAATCATACGAATGAACAAAAAGAACAAAATGCCAACTTAGTGCTTCTTAAACATCTGATATGAGACAGCGGTGAGGGGCAGAAGCTCCGTTGTTGTGTGGGACAAGAGGGGGGTTTGCTGGACTAACCCCAGAAGGGACATTAAAAGGCTCTCTATTTTTGTGTTTTGATGTAATCGCTCTGGGCCTCTATCAATTCTGTTGGAAAGTTAGGAAAAAACAGTCTCCCTTCGAACCAGATACTGCATCCAAATGGAGACTTCCTGAATCAAAAACATTACCAAAACAATATTAAATGTTGGCATTTCCTGATCTATCAAATGTCACCCTCTTCTTCGTCTTGTCGGTAAAGTAGTTTTTAAGAAGCTTTTTTTGTTTTCAAAACCAGGAGCTTATTTGCTTTTTATTTTTATTTTTTATTTTTTTATCTTTAAATTGTTTTATTGTTATGTTAATCAACATACATTACATCATTAGTTTTTGATGTAGTGTTCCATGATTCATTGTTTGCGTATAATACCCAGTGCTCCACGCAGAACGTGCCCTCTTTAATACCCATCACCAGGCTAACCCATCCCCCCCCCTCCCGTCTAGAACCCTCAGTTTGTTTTCAGGGTCCATCGTCTCTCATGGTTCGTCTCCCCCTCCGATTTACCCCCCTTCATTCTTCCCTTCCTATCTTCTTCTTCTTTTTTTTTTCTTAACATATATTGCATTATTTGTTTCAGAGGTACAGATCTGTGATTCAACAGTATTGCACAATTCACAGTGCCCACCATAGCACATACCCTCCCCAATGTCTATCACCCAGCCACCCCATCCCTCCCACCTCCCACCACTCCAGCAACCCTCAATTTGTTTCCTGAGATTAACAATTCCTCATATCAGTGAGGTCATATGATACATGTCTTTCTCTGATTGACTTATTTCGCTCAGCATAACACCGTCCAGTTCTATCCACGTCATTGCAAATGGCAAGATTTCATTCCTTTTGATGGCTGCATAATATTCCATTGTGTGTGTGTGTGTGTGTGTGTGTGTGTGTGTGTGTGTGTGTGTGTATACACCACATCACCACATCTTCTTTATCCATTCATCTGTCGATGGACATCTTGGCTCTTTCCATAGTTTGGCTATTGTGGACATTGCTGCTATAAACATCGGGGTGCACATACCCCTTTGGATCCCTACATTTGTATCTTTGGGGCAAATACCCAGTAGTGCAATTGCTGGGTCATAGGGTAGCTCTATTTTCAACTTTTTGAGGAACCTCCATACTGTTTTCCAGAGTGGTTGCACCAGCTTGCATTCCCAACAGTGTAGGAGGGTTCCCCTTTCTCCGCATCCCCGCCAACGTCTGTCGTTAGCTTATTTGCTTTTTAAAACTAGTTTGCTTATTTAATAAATTCCCCTAATCCATCAAATGTAAACATAAATACAGAACTTGAAGAGGTTTTAAGCCCTGCTTTCAGTGGTACTTGTATCCACAAGAACTTAGTAAATCCACATGGCATGTACTGAAACTCTTAAACCAGAAGAGTGACCTTTATGAATGACTGTGACTGCCAGTTTGAAGAACACTCTCTTCAGTGGCTTCTCTTTCCCGGACGAGCTGACAGGGACCCAGAGTGTTAGTGCTAGCGGGAGCCATGGGCGACAGTGGCTGTCTCCCACCTGGCCTGACTTACAAACCGGTAAACAAAAGAGGATTTTTTTTTTCTTCTCTCTCTCTCTCTCCTGCAGAATCCCAACCCAGGACTATTTGCTGTGAAGCACCCTCTGACCTATGCAGAAAC